GAGCTTCAAACTAGCTCTCCAGGGTATCTGTAATACACTTTTCTACAAGTATGGGCCCAAAATTGATGCTTCACATTTTGTCCAGGAAAATCATCAAAAGTCATTTCTGGCCACAGCAACTGACAGTTCCTCAATTAAAAAGGTCCTGGTTATTTAAAATCTTTAAGTACAGTACTATCATTAGTAGTTACTTTACATGACTTAATGTACATGGACGGAATGGGCAGGTGGTGCATCCTATAATGTGCTCAGCAAGATTTTTTTCAAGTGAGAAAGCTCATGCAAAACTATTTTGCTAACCCGTAACAATAAATTATACTTCCATTTTTGTCTGCCCCTTGTAGACATGTCATTGATAATGACAATTTCCCATGAAAATGTTCATTTTTGATGAAACTCAAGTTTCAATGGCATTTTTTTCCTATTGAAAAATTTCAGCTAATTCTATAGATGACAATGCTATTTAAAAAATTCTTACACTGATGCATCAGAACTGTTGGTAGTACGAGCTCTACGCAGGATTTTTTTTCCGTATGCAAGTCAAGTAAAAAATTCACCTGTTTCCTTTTTTTTCCTTACAGCAATCACAGCATTTTAACTATCTGCACAATACATTTTGTAGTTTAATCCACACTTACTTTCATTTAAATATTTTCCCTGTTGGATGTCAACAGGAAGTACTGTATAACATCAGCATTTCTGAGAAGTCCAAAAAGAAGTAAGTGGGCTCTCACATATTTGTGGTAGGCAAGGTCTGCTCAAACTATTCATATTATATATACAAAACAAAAATTCAAATAGCAATATATACATGTATGTGTGTGTGCATACATACACACAAACACACACACATACACACACACACACACACTTACTTATAATATGCATTAATATATACATACTTACTTATTATATATAGTATGAATAGTTTGAACAGACCTTGCCTACTACAAAAACGTGAGAGCCCACTTACTGCTTTTTTGGACTTCTCAGAAATGTAGATGATATTTATATAAGCAAAACTGCTATTTGAATTCCTGTTTTGTTTTTGAAGTTACGTGCCATTATATTTCATTCGGGTAACACAGCGATGCAATTACACAAATGGATTATCAATGTAAACTGAGTAACACTGTTACTCAGTAACACTAAGAAAACTGTGTTTTCTTTCCTTCTTCTAATTCACCTTACATTTCAAATACCACCTTGCATCAGACACTTTCATTTTTTTTAAACTAATGTTAATCAATTAAGCTGCATCATACTCTTTGAGGCCAAGAAATATTAGTTTCTTATGCAGATTATTAAACGGAGTCATGGTTTAGTTCAATGGCTTGGCCATGACCTGATAGAAAACCTGTGGTAGTACAAAGAAGAAAATCCTGCTGCACACCTGAATTCCAAACTCATGTTTATTCCCTTTCACTTGTGGATTTTAAATGTACAATTAATTTATTGGAAGGTTGTCTTGACACTGAATAGTTTGTTAGTGCACTATCATGGCTTCTCATTTATACATCAAAGTTTCAGATTATACTGTGAAAGAGTGCTATCTGCTTTGGAACAGAAGTGCTTGCATGGTCTTTGTTGTAGCACAAATAAACACCGACTCACCGGAGACGTGTTAGCAATTAGAGTCATGTAAAGCAAACGCTTATTTCATGGGAATACTCATTTGAATCGGATAACCAAACTCAGGGCTAGGTACAGTCATTACACATAATCTGGAGTAAGTGATTGGAAATCAAACCAAACTCGCAACTGTACAGAAGCTTGGGGCACATAATCTGATCTAAAAATGGTGGAACTTGGTCTAAGATAGTCCTACATTGATGTGCACTCAAACTTATTGGAATTAGGTTAGTCCAGTGCACTGAACTTCTGTACCAGATCCCCTGTCGAATCATGTTAGGTCACTGTCTGTGGCATCCCAGGGACCTTTGCAGCCCCCTCCCACTGTCACACTTCACTAGGAAGTGTGCCGGCCTTGGCCTGGGCTCGGCTGCTCCAGCTGAGAGCCCAGCCTGCCCCACCCCTGGGCTCTCACAGGATGGAGTCACACCATGGCTGACAATGGTGGGGGGTGGGGTGCTACACCATGTCTTGCAGCTTGGTCAAGCTCCCTGAGTGTGCATCGACTCGTGGTGGGGCCTGGGGATTCTTGGGTGAGGGTGCGGGAGCCCACCCACGGACTCCCATGCCCCTGTGAGCAAGCACAGCATCAGGGAGTAGACCCAGCTACAGGAAATGGGCACAGGTGCCTCCGCTGCCTGCCTGCAGTTGACAGATGCCAGGAGTGGGAGTAGGTGTGTTCACCTGTATTCAGCAGCCAATCAGGGGTGGCCTGTACACTGGGCTGTGCTCAGCAACCTCTGGCAACCCAGGGAGCCCACAAGGCATGCTGGGAGGTGTGCAAGTCTGCCCCCAACCTGCTAGCCTCAGCCAATGCAGGCAGCCTTTATGCCCCCCCCCCACACTAAAGGGCAAGCATGTGTTCTGTTTGCTCCTGACCTAGCCTATGCTGCTTACAGAAAACTGCAAGTTTGATCGATTCCACGTCAGACTTTTTAAACATTTGTACCTAGTTCCAATGATTACAAATGTAACTTCAGGTTGTGCACTTGCTACTCCCCCCCCCTCCCCCACCCCACAATGATAGTAGTTAATGAACCTGGAAAAATACACATTTTTCCAAATGTCCATTATGTCACATTGTGCTGACTTTGGACTTATTTGTTGAGTTACACACAGTGTGACACCAGCCAATGAAAAAGAAATGAACAAATCAAGTTTCTTCTTACTTTCACCACCAAAATTTTGAATAGCCAATACATTACCTGAATTTTATGCATGGGCTGTCCAAAAAAATCATTTTACTGTAGCCCTTGCAGCTGGTTGGATATTATCTGAAGCAGTCAGACTTACACATCCAATTAAGAAAATGATTAATTCTGGGGTGTTCTGCTATTGTACACTTTTCACTCCATTTATTCAGGCCCTTCTCTGTGACAGTGAAAACATTTTGACTCTTGCTAGAGCATAGAACAGTAAGAGGGATAAAATCTGTTCATATTCATTTATAGGGATTGGCTTATTCAGGGTCCAGGACTATTCAGTCATCATGAATTTGTGAAAATGTTTGTAAATCTTGAAAGTTAAATGAATTGTAAAACATATTGCTTCTCATCTAAAATTCAATTCCAAGTGATTTACATTACTAATCACACAAAAAAGAGGTCACAGTTTGGAAACAACAGATATGTTTAATTTGCTTGTCCACTCTGTTTGGTGAATTTTAACAAACAGCACAGGGATTAGTAGTTATGAATTAAATGCAAACAGAACATCTGTTTTATTTGTAAAATTTGGAGGAGTATTATTTGTAATGAATAATTTGATCAGCTCTGCCAATTTGCCTTGGTCAGAGACTGACCTCTTTAGTCTGATGCCTTCTCCGTTACTTCAAAGTCTGAATATATATATATATATATTTTTTTCAAATAACAGGTTGTTTGTGTTAAATTAATTGTTTTTGTTCATGAGTTTAGAAGAAACCGCCCAAAAATTGTCATAAAAGTTTCTAACCTTTCTTTTGGCTTTATAAACTTAGTTAATGGTGCGTAATGCTTACAAAGACTTTTCAGGAGCCTAAACTGAGACTTGGCAGAAAATGAATTGCAATTAGTATAAAAAGCCTGAATCACTGGCTCAGTTTTTGACAGCAGGTCCGTTTTATGAACTCCACCTATAAAAACCACTTAATGGAGCTAGTCAGCCATAAGAAGAGGGCCAAACATAAGGAAAAAGTATAGACGTATCATCAAAAAGGTGAATCTCTGTGTCTGAGGAATACATAACACCATATGAAATATATATTTCCAATGCCCTGCAACAGGGAAGCTTACAGAAACTAAAACATGCGTTTAAGAAAAGCACGAGATAAAGTATAAACTCTGCTGCCCTGATAAAAATCAGGAATACTACCATTTTTTTTCTTTTGCTGGTTTTTTCTTTTTGATAATTTCGAATCAGAGTCTGAGCATAAAGAAAGTGAAACTCGTGCTAAATCTTCTTCCCTGCAGAACGGAACAAGCTGCATAAGGTACCACACCAGTTATCGCTCGACCAAGTTCATCTTTCATTGAAGAGCTCTTTATTCTGAGTGAGTGCCTGATGACAGGCACTCACATAAGTAGTGCCACTTCCAACACAACTACTCACATCTGTCATTTATTCACTACGGTGAGGGATAGCGCCACAATCTGGCCTTGAATATTAAATTATAAATTAATTTCATTATATAATAAATTATACACAACTCATGTATAATAAATTATACACAACTTATTATATAATATTTAATTATATAATAAATGATATAATAGAATTTAGAATTCTTCCTATACATATTATCTCTCTCATTCCATTGTTTTCTCCTTCCCTACAGTTACATTTCTTTTATTATACAGTGAACAATGCTGGGAGCAACATGTCCCATATCTACTCAGCAATACAGCAAACAAACAACTTCACTCTAATCACAGGATTTCAAATAATCCTGTTGCATCTTATGAAGAGCTATGCTGTTTAGGTCTCCAAGACATTAATAAGTGCACTTAACTTCTTGTTCATCTCATGATGAAATTTAAATGAAGCATATGTTTTGGCAACAGAAAAATATCCAGAAGAGTGAAGAAAAATGTGGCTAAAAGCACTTAAGCCAATTTTTCAAAGGAAAATATGCATATGATCTATTTTGCATAGCCAAACCAATATGGCTTGCATATACAGCAGAAACAGAGTGATACCACACTCTAACGTTTTGGTGGGTCTCATATATTTAAATGTTCGAAGAACCAGACCCCACGTTCTCCAAGTGTTCAGAACTCCAGCTGAGTTTCGAAGTGAGCATCAGAGGTCAAGCATCAGAGGTAGCTAATAGTTTATCTTATGATAAATCAAAGAATGAAGTATGTAAAAATTAAAGCAAAGCAAGTTACCTTTCTTTTTTGAGTCTTTCTTTGTGCTGGTTTTAACAGCCACTTGAAGTTCTGTCTCAGTTGACATCCTATATCCTTAGTCCTCTTCACACAGATCCAGTATCTCGGTCAGGCTCATTTAGAATGTCTCTCCAAAAGAATAACTTAGCCCTTTAGATACTATAACCCAGATGGTTCATCTCACTCAATCCTTTCGAGCGCTGCCAAGAAACAAACAAACAAACAAAAATAATAGTAATTTTTTGAGTTTAAAAAAGGGGGTGGGGGAGGGAATGGTATTGTGTTTCATTGCCAAACAAACCTAAAAAGCTTTCTTTATCGCTAGAAGGATAATGTTGTCAGGAGAGTATACAAAAAAGTCAAATACGTGAAAACTAATCATTTTGGTGTCAATTTAAATTTCATCATTGGAAAATAAACTTTGTATTATTTAACTGAGATTATAAAAAGATTTGAAACTGTGAGCTTTAATTGCTCAGTGCCATCTGTACTGTCCTGATCATATACAGAAAAACAGAACTAACGGACCAGACGCTGATGCACTCACATTGAACAGCATCTTACTTCACTGTTAGTTCTGTGTAAATGAGAATCCTCTATCATGAGGTGCTACTAGTGTATCTTTTTAAATAATATTATAATTCTTATCACTCAAAGCAATTTTCCATTCGTGATACTTTGCAAACACTTGCTAGCTAAGCCCAGGAGTTTCCATGGGAGATTTCAATGGGACAGCACTACCTGCATGGGAAGAGAGAATGCAAGTGAAGGAACGTGCGGTGACCTTACATTGTGACCCCAGCTAGGACTGGCGCGTATTGCCCAAGGAATAAACCACAACGAGTCATGACTCAGGTTAAGCATTTCTTGTCTGTTTCCTATTGCTCCGAGGAAAGAGTCAGCCCATTTTGCACAGCCCCTAATTCACCATGTGTGCCTGGCCAGCTGGTGTACTGACAAGCTTAGATCCCTGCTTCTTGCTCTAGTCATTCCCATTTGCTTATCTCAGTAGCTCTGCCGCTCTCAAGCTTCTTCCCGCTGGACTTCCATTGTACAAAAGGACTTGCTGTCACCTAGCAGTAAAGGAAGACAGGATGGCTCTGACCCTGTTAGAACAATTTGTAACACCTCGCAGGGTAAGAGATGCACTAACGACGCTACCTCATTAAGTAAGGCTAGGTGCAGATATTGGAAAAGCCCAAGGCAAAATCAATTAAACCTATGTGGATTTCTCTAAGCTGTGCAGATTGGATCAGGAGCAAACAGAGCACATGTTCACTCTACAGTGGGACACACACACATGTACACACACACCCCCCTGAACTGGCTGAGGCCAGCAGGTAGGGGGCATTTCTGCACACCTTCCATCATGGGCTGTCTCCCAGCCTCACCCCCCTGCCAGCAGCTGGCTGTCAGTTGCATTGGGGGGATGCCCCCCAGCTGTGCTGCGGCAAGGACCTCCGCTCCCCACAACTAGCTTGGCTGACAGGGGCAGGCAGAGGCCGGGGCTGAGAACCATGCACAGCTGTCAGATAAGCTGGGCAGCAGTGTGGGGAGCAGAGAATGTCCACTGTGCCCCCACCCCGGTGGGCTTGCTTGGGTCTGGCTTGGAGTGGGGACCTCCACTCTCCCCCTCTCCCCACCACTGCCTGCTCAGTCCTGGCTCCTACCTACCCTCCATCAGCCAAGTTGCACAGTGCTGGGGCTAGGAGAGGAGGCCCCTCACCACGCAGGACCCCCGCCCCCCCCGCAGCTGTGCTTGCTTGGGTCTGGAGGGGCCAGGGCTGGGCCTGTGGGGAGGAGGCCTCCACTCTCCTTCCCCGCCTTGGCTGAGAGACCTCAAGTTGATGGAATCCAAGCAAGTTGCAGAGGTGATCAAAATATAATACTAACTACACCTGTACAACAATTGTATTTCTAACAAAGTATGTGTCAGAATACATTTAAGACGTTATATGCCTAAGTAATATTTTTAAACAAACTTCAATTTATCCAAAAGGTGGTGAAAAAAATATTATACCATCCTTACTGAGGGCAAGTAGTATTTTGCTGCATCAGTTATCCAATTTTCTTCAATGGGGCAGCATATACAGTAACATGCAACTCAACTGGAATAAAGCTCCTATAATCTGGTTTTCAGATGGAATTGATAATTCACTGGTTACATTAATTTTTATGATGAGGCCCAGTCAAAATCCTGCCTTAGTGTGTCCCCAAACTTTGGGAAAGTTTGCCTTGATACTCAGAAGCACACTTTGCAGCTTTTGCCCAACACAAGTTTTTAGTATCAGAATGATTAAACACAAGGATATCAAATAAAAACAAATGACTTGTCTACAGGTAACAGAACTGTGTTAGCTTTTAAAAAAGGTAGATATGTCTGAAACTTTACAAGCACTACAGCATATAGACACCTATTCCGAGGATAAAATATCAGTTTAACTAAATTAGTTTTCATGCCACTCATAATTTGTATTCAATCATGCCTATAGACCCTATCCAGGATTGGAATTCAATTATGACAAGAATCATGTTTCCTGCCCTGAAGATCTCAAGACACAACAGGCAGCAAAGGAAGTGCTATTTTGCTATGTTAAATATAAAAAACTAAGGGGGAGGAGGTGTAGGAGGAAAGAGAGACAGAGAGTGAGACAGAGAGGGATGTGACTTACCCAAGGGTGCACAGGAAGTCTATGGCAGAGGCCAGAGATGAGCAAAGAAGGGACCAACATCTTAGCTAGCGAAGCATGCAGAGTGCAAAGAACCACATGGAATAATGGCTCTTCACTTCACAGATCTCCAGTGGAGGATCTGATTGCTTCTTATGCCAGGCTTTCTCCACTGAGTAACTCCTCACTGCAATCCTAACCAGGTATGCCTAGTGGGATAGCCATCATGCTGCTGCAGATCCTTGGTACAAACAATTTTTGGTTGAGAGATAAAACTGCAGCCAGACAGCAATAATATCACCTATTTCTTGGCTACATTATGGCCAGCTCGTGCTTCAGAAAGCACATCTATACTTCACAACACAGTCTTGCATAGAGATACCAGAGCTAGCTCCTTGATAGCTAGCTGACATACTGCAAGCAGCAGAGCAGTGTTAATGAGGGGCTTTGCCTAGGTTTATATGCCCTGCTTATTAACGCTGTGCAGTCTAGACAGACTCACAAAGGAACTGTTATATTACACTACTCTGCTTACTAGTTGTCGTCTTTCTCATGTTGTCACTATACAGGAGGGCTAGCTGTCATTACTTAACCAGTGAAAGTACTCCATGTACCCATTTGCTCCTCCCTCTAGCTCCTGAAAGACATTTCTTTGTCAGTGATGCACAGAGCAGAAAGAATTTTCTAACCCAGTGGTTGTCAACCGGGGGTATACATACTCCCGCAGGTACTTGAGAAGGTCCTAAGGGGTACGTGCCAGTGGGAGGGGATGGAGCATTGCCACACACCATCCCGCGATGCTACACAGGTGCTACCCACCCGGCTAGATGTGGGGGGTGGGGGAAGTTTGCATGCAGCAGCTGCTGCTGCTCCACATTCAAACATATGCCACCCTCCTCCCCACCCTGCCCTCTGCCCCCTGCCCTCTGCCTTGCTACACATCTGTCCCCATGCCCATCCAGCCACTCGGCGTCCAGGCGCCGGGGGTACACTGATCCATAAAGGTTGAAAACCACTGATCTAACCTATAGAGCTCTGAGTATGCTGTGCTAAAGAATCCAAAATTATTTAATAAACTCCCTTCCCCTAATTTGGGAGATTAAATCCCTCCAAAACCTAAAGAAAATCACTTTTCACAGGAAAGACATGAAATTGCTTACGTTTTTAAATCTAGACTCTTTTAGTATTTTTAAATATTTCAGTAATGTTATGCTGCCATATCCAATTTGAAGTGATTTAACACTCCTGAAGTATATCAGGCTTTTTTTAATGTAATGAGTATGTCAAATCCATATGAAATTATATAACATTCAACAGATAAATACATATATGGCATACATTCAAAGTACTGAACGTGAATACATTGAAATACATACTAAATACATTCAAAGTACTGAATTAATTTAAAACAATAGAAGTTTCTCATTCCTTTCCTAGAAAGGCAGAATAAAAAGGAAAATAAAGGGGCTCAGGTACCCCCCTTGCCATCAGCTCCCACTAATTCAGCTCCTTTCCCTTCTCCCTTAGCAGATGAAATTAAGGGGAAAATTTGAAAAAAAGGGAAAATCTGACCTTGAAATTAACATACCTATACTAATTTACATGGAGTACCCATAGACTTAGGTCAGCCAGAATCGATGCATTTTACCTTTTTTTTGAAACTGCAAAAAAGTTTTATTGCAGGTACTCCATAAACATGCTTTTATGCCAGTGGCAGACTGACGGTGGGGTTGCGGGGCACCAGTCTGTGGGGGGCACCAGCCAGGCCCTTCAGAGTTTTTCACATGTGATGTGACAAGTATTGCTTCAAGAAGGATGGCTGGGGGCACAAATGGCCCCTGGGCGCCGGAGACCCATGGTACGTCACTGTTTTAGGCAGTATTTTTGTACCTACTTATATATGGTACAAACTATGCATGACAGTCCAAAGCTAAAAGGCTCATGGTTTCCCATATAGTTCACTGGGCTGGGCCTCAGTAGTCAACAACATTTCAAGCCATGGTGACCCAACAGCTCGGTACTGCTCAGCAGGGAACCTGGTTTTCTCCATTTAAAAATTGCAAATTCTCCAATTTTAAAACAAATCACAAATTCTATGATTTAAAAAAAATTTACAAATTCTGTGCTAAAAAACCCCAAAATTTGCGATTAAAATGAAATGCCACTATACATAAAGGTATCAATTGAACACAAGGTTTTATAGATATATTTACAATTTTAAAGCAATTTGGAAGACTACCAGTGCCTCAGTCACTGAAATAAAATCAATTCCAAGTACCTATACATTTTTGGTATTTGAATTTGGGTTTTTTATCATTGAAAATCAGAGCTCCCCCTGCCCCCTTCACTCACCAGGATGCAGGTCCAGGCCCCTCACTCCTAAGCTATGGGCTCCCAGCTCTGCCGGTGCCCCTCACTCCCCACCCAAAGCCCCCCAGCCCTGCCGGTACCCCTCACTCCCCACCCACAATGCCCCCAACACCCCCAGCCCTGCCGGAAGAGGCCTTTGGCTTTGTAGCTCGTGGGTTATG